CCAGCTGTCACCGAGAGCCCGGGCTCGGAGCGCCCGCCGCGGGGCCCGCGGGGGGCCTGTCACCGCCGCCGCCCCTCTCCCGGACCCTCTCCCCAGATCCTCACCCCCGCCTCTCCCGTCTCTGCCGCTGCCCCAAGCGCCTTCCATTCTAAGGTGCTTGCAGGGGGGTGGGGGAGTTCTGTCTCCTCCAGGCAGACACGGGCCGGTGGGGACCACACCCCTCCCCCATTTAGCTCCCCCCCATCTTCCTCCTGCCCTTCCCCTGTGCACCTACTCCGCCCCGCCCCCCCAGCAGACCCCAGAGCACTTCCAGCACTGCCTTTCCCTTGGGGTGTCACTTGGCATGGGGGACTGGCGCTCGCTGGGCCCCGCTGCCCCTCATTCTGTCACTCCGTGTCTCCGTTAGTTCTCCCCTTGTCTGTGTGCCTGTCTCTGCCCGGGCTGGGGTAGCAGACTGTGGAGTGCAGCTGGGTATTCACTGGGGGCTCTATCTTGGTTTAGGGTGGGGGCAGTGGCACAGTCCCCCCTCCCATCTCCTGCCCTGTGGGGAGCTCTGGGTTCCAGGGAGGGCTCCTCCATAGCTGGTTGCCCCTTAGCTCACTGAGCTGTCGTTCACCCAGTCCTGAGGGTTTTTGCACCCACTCCTGGCCCCCCTGGGTGAGGGCAGAGTGGGAATAGATAGGTTGGTTGGGCTGTGACTAAGATGATCAGAATGAGGACTTGTGCCAGTGGCTTCTGCCTGTAATCCAAGCTACTCGGGAAGCTATGATCTGAGGATCGCGGTTCAAAGCCAGCCCCGGCAAGAAAGTCTATAGGAGAGTCTTTTCTACCACTACCCAGCAAAAAGCTGGAAGTAGAGTTGTGGCTCAAGTGGAAGATTACCAGCCTTGAGCAGAAAAAGCTCAGGGGCAGTGCTCAGGCCCCAGGACTGGCAGGCACGCGTGCACACACACACACACACACACACACACACACACACACACACATGCATGCACGTGGTGGGGTGGCAGTAAGAAGAGGAATAGGTAGCACATAGTAATTCTCTTTACCAGGGGACAGATGGATTTTGACATTTACCCAGGGCTCACCCAGCAGGCGATGTGTAAACCGCCCCACCGCGCCCCCCCCCACCCCCCGCACCCAAGCATGCTGGCCTTTCCCAGCCAGAGACAGAACATGATTCTGCCTTGGGAATGATCTTCAGAAATGGCCTGTGTCCCCTCCCTAATTCCTTGAGCTCTGAAGTTGTCCCAGCTGAGGGACAATCCTGCCCCCCCACCCTCCAAAGTCCTCTGATCTGAAGAAGGGCCCAGCCTTGCTTTTTTTTTTTTTTTTTAATGAACAGTTCTTGGTTCTCAAATGCCAGCATCTCAGACTTAACCCAGAATGTCCTTTCCCAGAAAAATCAGGAAAAAATAATAAATGAAAAAAGAAAAAGAGAACTTTTATTCCCACGTGGAATTCGAGCTGCAGAATTGTAAAAGTTGCAGAGTGGCCTCAAGTGTGTTGGGCGGGCGGCCGGGGGGGGGGGGGGGGGAGGGGGGGAAGGGGGGGGGGGGGGGGGGGCGCGCAGACTTTAGTTGAACGCTTGATGACAGAAGAGCAGGTGGGTTGAGTCCAAAACAGCCCCGGGGCTGAGCTTGGAGAGACTAATGGGAAAGTGGGGGGGGGCAGGGGAACCCAGCCCCCCAGCAGGTGAGGCAGCTCTGTCTAGCAGTGGCTCTGATGAAAGTTGGGGAGATGACATAGTCTTGAAAAACCTTTAGGCATATCACACACATGGCGGTGGAGAAGGGTGGGGGTGGGGTGGGATGGAAAGCAGCACGGAGAAAAAGATCCCAAGAAAGAGATCAGAGGCACCGGAAGGAAGGAGCTGCTAATTCTCTGGAGATGAAATAGTGCTACTATTTATTGGGCCTTTAAGGCTGGGGCCAGGCTCAATGGTCTCCGTAGATAAATGTGCTCTGATGATTTTCATACGGGGCTATTCCAAATGAACCACTCAGTTTGACGTAGGTGACATCTCAGAGGCAGGATTCACATCCATCTCCATCCCCCAGCAAACTTCCTGGACCCTAAAATTTCCAAGCTCAGACTAATTTTTCTTTCTTTCTTTTCTTTTCCTTTTTTTTTTTTTTTTTTTGGTGGGTTATGGGTCTTGAACTCTGGGCCTGGGC